GCTCTGATTCACCTACCAAAACACACTGAGGAAATTCTTGCATAATTTGTAATGGCTGTGTTATCCTTAAGACTTTGCAGTGGATAATATATTTCTCTCCTAGTATCCTCATGATCAATTTATATTTCTTTTGCTTACTTTTCTCAATTGTTGAGATGAGATTAAAAGGTGCCTAAACCATCCATGGTTTTGGTATCGGTCGCTCTTGACACAAATTGATACACTATTTGTATTTTATACGAGTCACACTTAACTATTGGATGCCTCAGGGCCGGTCCAACCACTCGGCTTTAGGCCTCATTTTAAGGAAGCCTCTATAATTTTTAGGTGTATAGTAATAACTCAAACAAAAAATTTAAACCCATAAAAATTAGGCCCCACACAAATATTAAATTTTAGCCCAGACAAAAGATTTCAACTTGAGTGGTTGGGCCTATTAATTCAATCTATCAAATTAAATAAGCCCTAAAATTTATATTTTTTTGAAAACAAAAAGAAAAAATTAATAGTAAAATTAAAGCTATTAAAAATCAAGTTTTAACCCTCCCCCTACAAAAGTTAAATTCAGATTTACCATCATAATTTTTCAATCATTCTTTTTTCTCCCCCCTCTCTCTCTCCCTCTCTCACCATCAAATTCAACCATGATAATAAAAATTTGAATATAAACACTTAATTAATATTTTTACATTTCAAAAAATAAAATTATTTAAAAAAATCTCATTTATTATTTTCACTTTAAGCTCCAAAATGTCTGAGACCACCCCTGGTCCAAGTCATCATTTCTAGTGCATGATACTGTTCTACGGTGCCATATGACCTTAATTCAACTCTATGCAAGTATTGTAAACTGGACAAATTAATCCACTTACCTTTTTTTTTTAGGAAGATAATTAATCCACTGACCTTGCAGAGCCTAAAATATCAGAAATACTTCTATGTAATACTTAAGCATTCTCAATTGATTGTGAAACGGATGTTGTATACGAGTACTGAGTATAGTCTACAAATATACAAATGCACAAAAATATAAAACATGGTAAACTTTAATAAACTCATCTGACGGTTTTAAACAGACTCATCCAACGGCCACTAACATCCCTCTTAAAATCATTCACATTGCACCGTGTCTTTAAACACAAATTACCCCTAGTCTATGCATAATACTTGACTGCATGCATATGCACTTATTATATCTATCATCATTTTTACTTACCCAAACAAAATTAGATATCAATGAATTTTTTTGAAGCTTGTCGTATCTTTAACTGAATATTGATGGATTATTTCTGATCTTATCATATCTCTAATAAAATATACAAATATTCATTTCTCTTGTCAAGAGCAAGGGTGGTTGGGGCATGAGTCAAGGTAATTCCGGGCCTCACCACTTAAAGCCATTTTCTGACATGCATGGTAAACCTTTGAAACATTCAGAAATCTCTTGACCAGGATGGTTGTTTAATACTCTTTTAGTAACAATCGAAGGGATATACTTCACTTTGTAACCCATTGGTCCAATATTTGGTTTTGTTCGTTTCGTTTGTTTGAGTTGGGTTCATATGATGAGTTTCATCCAGACACGCGATAATATAAATGGTGCTTGAGGAGATACAATTAAATACATTAAAGATCAAAAGTCATGTAGGCAACACGAAATAGCCATAGCTCGGCTTGGACGTGAAAGGGCACTCCTACTACACACGGAAAAGCCCTTTGTCAAAAAAATAGCCAAAATTTAACAAGGAGAGTTTTCTTCCATGCTTGCCTATAGGTATAGAATAGTGTGGACTTGGTTATTAGTGGGGTGGATATAACAGAAATGGGCTTAATAATTTTATAATTAAAAGTTTAATAAGGTGGGAAAGGATATTTTGTGGGAGTGGTGATAACCCACTCTATACTTTTGACATTATTCACTCAACAAACAGGATTGAAAATCTGCCTACAAAAAAAGTGTTCATTGGACTACTTTAACGAAAAATATATTATTTTGTCTCTTTTTTGCACACTTTTTTTGTTTGATGTAGTATATAAAGTAGATCTTGTGACACATATTCAAGGGGTGGCTCAACGGTGTTAGAAAAAAAGCTTGGGTTTTAGACCTCATTTTTAAAGAAGGTCCCAAAATTTTAAATATCATAAATAATTCATATAAAAAAATTAAATTTATAAATATTTTAAACCCTACAGAAAGGCCTTATAAAAATACAAGTCCAATCAAAAAAAATTTAAGGCCTCACTTCAAGAAAGGCCCATAATTTATAGGTGTACAGTAAAACTCCAAACAAAAAATTTAAATTAATGTCTAACAAAATATTTTAACTTAAATAGATTGTGCCTATTAATTCAGCCGTAAAATTGAAATGGCCTAAAATTTATTTTTTAAAATTAAAAAAAAAAAAAAAAACTAACGTTAAAACTAAAGCTACTAAAAAATCTAGTTTTAACCCTCAACAAAGTCAAGTTTAAACATACCATCATAATTTTTTAATTATTCTTTCTCTCTCTTACTATTAAGTTCAATTATGATAACAAAAACTTGAATATAAAGATTTAATTAATATTTTTGTATTTAAAAAAATTAAAAATTAAATTTATTATTAATATTAAAAATAAAAAAGCGTCATTTATCCGCTTTAGGCCCCAAAATGTCTCGAGCCACCCCTGTCATTCTTCAACGAATAAATCTACCATATATATATATATATATATATATATATATATATATATATATATATATATATATATATATATATATATTAATTAATCGGAAACTCACTTGAGTTATTATTTAGTATTTTTTTTCGTACATGGATGAAACTCATCATATGAACCCCATTCTTTTTTAACCGTAAAAAATAAAAATTATTTTTATGCTTTGAGAAGATTTGAAATCCTTTGTACTTTATTAAATAGAATGTGATTTTTTTTTTTATTTGAAAGGATGATACAATGCCTATTAAAAAGGAATATCCAAAAAGTGGAGCAGCACAATGAAATTTAGAGCCATCTCGTCCCATATATTGAAATTTTTAATACAACTTTGTATTTCTAACTGGCTGATGTACTATTCTATTACCAGTTCGTCGAACCCTTCGAGTGTGATGTTGCAGGTGGCACGATGACTCAAATCCTTCCTAGTGTTCATATCAACCCACACCTTAATTCTAAGATTGATGTTACAGAGCTAGCAACACTTAGGGCTCTCCATCTAGGGACGACAATCAAATTGTGTCATATTACATTCATCACGTGTCATTTTAAATTTGTATTGAGTGCAAATCAAGTCTAGTCCAAAATTTAATAAATCAGGTCAATTGTTTTAGTACTTACCAACTCAAGACTAACATCTCTTTGCCTCTCGATAAAATTCACCTAATATAGATCTCAGATTATATTATTCAAATTTAATACAACATGAATATAATATGATACAACCTAAATATAATATAACACGACTTAATTGACATCTGACATGTTTGTTCAATCAAACCATGTATGCAAAAATCGCACTATTTTACAGCTCTTGACCTTGAAATTTAGTAAAATCACCAATAAATTTTACTTTTCCTCCAAAAGAACCATTAAATTCTATCATAGTTACCTTAAAACAATTAAATCATACTTTTGATAATTTATTTCTAAAAGTCATATACTCTATCAATAGTATGTTTTGTTCCAATTTTATTTTTCCCATCAACACACTAATTACATTTTTACCAATAATATTTGTTATTAGGACCCAAAGTAAAATATTTTTTTTAATTAGTTCATAACACCCAAAACATGTAATTAACAATGAATACTTATATAAATGATAAATTATACTACTCCACTTTTTCTTACATTTAATTTTTTTTAAGCATATAAATTTCAATTCACTTGATTATCAATCAATCATAAAGACATACAATTATATGAATTAACAATGTAAAAATTAGTCTATGAATACAATCATTGAGGAAAGTTAATCTAATTATTATTTTTTTTACTTCTTCCATATTTTGAATTAATTAGAAAAAAATTATTATTTTAAGGCATCAAAAAAAATTCAAGCATTCAAAGTTACAACATTGTATTTCAAAGATAAAATAAAAATATTTATTTATATAATGACTTTTAGATGAAAAGTTTAAAGTAAATTTTTGGTAAGTATTGTATCTAAAACCTTATAAAACATGCTTCCACTTTGTATTCTTCTACCAACATTTAGAACCTTAATCTTCCCACCACTAAATTAGAATTCTCGAACCTTCTAAACCTCCACCTACCTTGAGCTTCTAGACTTTTCTCTAGTCACCTGTAAATAGACCCCCAACTATCCCAAATCACCAAGTCAACCAAAACCAAATCACCAACAATAATTACCATTGCAACCCTATTCCTACTTTCTCTTTTACAAGACTTTGATTGTAAACTTATAACTTAGATTTCTCCATAATAATAAAAGTATTTTTTTCCCTCATTTTGGGAGTTATATTCTAATTTCTTCGTTCTTCTTCAACTTCGGTTGTAAATCTTGGGCTAATAAAAATTTATTTTTCACTATTCTAAGAAAGCAATTTTCAAAATTTAGAACGTCTTTCTTCACATTTTATACTATGTAAAATTCACTCCCATATGAACTCCTATATGCCAATAAGATGAATGATTTGATAATTAAACATATAAATTACTTGAATTTTAATTTAAGATAAAAAAAATTATATTTCAATAAATATAATTGAATATAAAAATACAAATAAAAATGTAATTTGTGTTTTCATGGAAAGGATAAAATTGGAACAAAACAATTCATTAATAGAGTTTAAGACTTCTTGAGAATAAATTATTAAAAATAAAGATTTAATTGCCCTAAGGTAAATATGATAAGACTTACTAATTCTTTTGAAGAAAAAATAGAACTTATTAGTGTTTTTTCCGATAATAAAAGACCAAAAGGGAGGCTTATAGGCTTTCTGACACCAACTCCCCCGACAATCCATTTAACATCCCACAAAATTTTCAGAATAGAGATGGCACATTCTAGACACTTTGCACGTCTGAATTACATAAAAAAACACATTCACCAAAGAAATGCAGGAAACGTTGTCTTGTATATACACTATGTGCATGTTTACATGCCAAAAGAGCCTAGAAGCTTTGGAAACAGGAAATTTAGACAGAAAACATACCTACATGTATGAGCAAACCTCACACAGACATCAAAGTACGGAGATCATCTGCGGTAATCTCCCTCCGGTCCTTTGGACCCCTCCTACCAAAAGCTTCCCTTGCAAGCAGCTTCTTTTTCTCTTGTAGCTCCAATATCTTCTCTTCAATGCTGTTTCTAGCAATCATCCTCACAATTTTTACATCCTCCTTCTGCCCAATCCGGTGGACCCGGTCCATAGCCTGTTCGTCAACTGCTGGATTCCACCATGGCTCCAACAAATAGACCCTGGAAGCAACAGTAAGATTTATACCAGCACATGACGCTTTAAGACTTGCAAGCAAGATTGTAGGCCCATCTGGGGTAGGGATTCCAAACTCTTCTATTACTTGAGCTCTCCTTTTTGCATTCATTGTCCCATCTAATCGCAATATCCTAAAACCAGCTACTTTTAGTGGCTCTTCAAGCAAAATCAACATTTTTCGGAATTGGGAGAATACAACTGATTTTGTAGTTGGGGTTTGATCTCTTGACGCTAAAAGAAGTTTTAAAAGAGCAGACACTTTAGAAGATGTACTGGAATAGGCAACTCCAGTATTGGCTGTGTCGGAAGATTCTGGCGGGGATGAGAAGAGGTCAGATTCTGACAATGGACGGCGGCACAATGGGCAGCAGGGTGCTGTACGTTTCAAGGTTTTAAGGATGCAGGATCGGCAAAAGAGGTGAGCACAACGTGTAATAACGATATCATTTGGTGTTGAAATGCAAATTGGACAGTCAAAATCTTCACCATCCTGAAGCAGTGAAACCATCTTCCTCAGCAATTCTGGGTTGTTGGATACATCTGCTTGGAATCACATTATATAGTTAACCACTCATCACAATCATATTATGTGGGAGAAACCATGGCAACAAAGAGTTTTTATAGTAATTGAAAACTAAATTTTTAAGACCAACAGTATTCCATATGACAGGATCACAGCCCATAGTTGCAAAAATAAGAAAACAACGACAAACAAATTATGATTCAACACATTGGTAATAAACACATTCTCACATGCACACGTGAACATAAATGTGCACCGAAACATAAACAAATTTTAACACCTAAAACAGACATAAAATGTTAGCACATATAGGAAGTGCACCCTTGTACACACATCCTTGCATAAATTGTATACATAAAAGCATAGATCTACTCCAAGAAAAATATAAAAAATGCTAGAGCATATATCCAAAGCCTCAAACCTTGCAGAGCTGACAGGCCAAGTCTTCAATGCATTTTAAGCATAGGAAAAACATAAGGAGATGCAACAGGATTAGCCAATGAAAGAACAAAGTAAAACAAAATAGAACATAAAGGAAATCCAAAATCAGAAAATAAAGTATGTCTAATACATGATGGATTTAAGTCTTCACTCAGTCTGGAAGGTATCCCAAACTTCTAAAATTCAGCCTAAAATGCAATTGAAGGAATAGTTAACTCATTTCACCAATCAAAGCAAAGAAATTATAGTCCAATTGATTTCAACAACGAAAATTTCACCCGCAAATAATTGCATTGCATTCATTTTTGGTTTAGAAAGATAATCTTGGGCTTAATTGAAGCAATTGGAGATCCAGTTCAGATCACTAAACTCTTCAACCTAACGAAGTTTGACATTTTTTATCATAGGATGAGTGTACGAATCATGGTTGGTGGTTTGATAAATTTGAATAGCTTAACGAAATAAAAAAACTCCACAAAGATAAGCTAAAAAAAATAAATCCATCATGTAATATATAAACAGCAACAAAAAATTTCCAGTACCAAAAGAAATCAAATGGAATGGTGTTATTTCTTGTATTGGTGAAATGCACATTAGCAAAGATGTGTAAGTCTCTTTGCTAGTAAAGTAGTAAGTTTAGAAATTCTTTGACCAAGAGATCGTAGTGATTCATCAGAAACTCATTTAGTTTGTTTGATAAAAATAGTAAATATCAGTCCCACTGGCACCCAAATTATATACTCCAAGCAAGGGCCAAAAACCCTGCTGCTTGAGCATTATCACTACCCCTTCTTCACTGACCCAACTATTGCTGGGCAAAAGAAACATGCCGAGAATCAAAGCATCATGAAGAAAATAGGTAACTGCTGAACTGAAAAAACAATGCCCAATTGAACGTCAGCCAAATTGCCCCAAGAAGTATATAACCCCGGACCACCTACAATTGAAGCACAAAGGCAGCTGTAGTAATCTTAGAATGATGGTGCCTATGGTATTGCAAGAAAGGGCCAGTGGTGGCAGTGTGCAGCAAGTCATGGACACCAACTGTTTTCTACCAACAGGAACCGGGAACACTAACTGAAGAAAGGAGGAGGAAGGGGGAGGAAAAGAATGGTGGTGAATATCAAGGAGTAACACCTAAAAGCTTTATTTTAACTTTAGCAAGGCTCAAGCCACAGTACCCAGAAACACAATGTCAAAATTTCATACTGGGACCCTATCGTAGCAAAAAGGTAGATTTATAATAAGACTCGAAAAAGGAAAGAGAAATCTTGGAATGCTCAAACATCTTAGACCTTAACACCTGATACAGACCTGATATATAAACATCAACATTCCATGGACAACAACGGCAACACATGTCCAACAATCTGGAATTTAAACTAGTTTTAACTTCTAAAGCTGCCTAGTACATAAGAGAAAATTCAACCCCATCCTTAATTGTGCAAGGTCTAAAGCATGTTTTAAGTAAACTTCACAATATTCTTCATCAATACATGAGATCATCAATTAGCCTTTGACCTTAAAAAATTTTAAGGTCTCCAGAAAATCAAAATCTAAATTATTTAATTCGCTAGTTCTTTTGTTTTTTCTTTTATATTAGTCAGATCTCCAGCTCCAATCTTATGTAAAAAAGATACCATAAATTATTCTTTAGACATTAAAAATTTTCTTAATCTAGAAAGTCAAAAACTTGATGAGCTACATCTCCAGCTCTTTTGTTTTTCTCTTTTTCCTAACATTCATATCTGGATCCACTGTGAAAACAAATTTTGACATTTAGTGCTGCAAAATTCAATTGGATTACTAAAACAGTTCTCTGTGCCAATGTACATTCGGACGTTTGTATTCTTATTTCCTCCTTGTTTCTTCACATTATTGACTTTAAGCTCAAAACTAAAGCCAAGACATGTTTTTGTTACAAGCACATCGCATGTATTACATGAGTTTACCGAGCCAGAGCTCCAGACTTACAAATCCCTAGGGGAAATCTATTCCAAAGTCCCTCTAACAGACAAATCCCTCCTGGTCTTTATTTCTTTTTCGGAGGAAACCAATTGCACCACAAAGAGAGTTTTGGCTTCTTTATTTTTAAGTTTCTTCCATGCCTTTTGAAGAGCAAAAAGTGGACGCTTTTAAAGTATACTAGGAACCAAAGAAAAATATAAAGGATGAAACTGAAAGGCTCAAAGCTACAACGAAGCAGTTCAATGGTCCTCATTCTCTGTCCTATCCTTCCTTGCGGATTCCCTGGGGGTCCGTTTGTAAACATCTAACCAAACAAGATAATGAACCACCTGTTTGGGGAGAATTTCACTTACAAAAAAGAAAGGAAACTGAGGCTAGTAGAAACCACAAACTAACCTAGTACCCCAAGAACAAATCATAGAGAGGATCAAAAAGTGCTATGATTAGTTTCAAACCAGTTGATCGCAAGTTCTCTTACTGGTTACCTTTATGCTTTCGGACAACCACAGGCATCTCCAACCATAGGTAAACCTTGAAGGATATGCAAGGGGGAAAAAAGAAAAGATAATTCAACAGTAGCCAGTAGTGGAAAGCTTTTGAAAAAAAATAAGCTTAAGTTAATCCAAGAATACCTAGAGGAAATTAAAGAAAAGATAAACTAATACAATAGTAGGTCCTCTGGGTAATGGTTGCAGTAGTATGGATGAAAACGTCATTTTAATACAAGAAAAATGTGGGGAAGATTAACCTTGACTTTGCAGCAGCATATACTCTCGAAATTTTTCTATATAAGAGAATAGATTTATTAACCGGCAATATTGTGGATTATTGAGAAAGATATTTGGCTGATCATTAATATTATCCCAGAATGAGGTATTGACACAGTTAGAGTCTTGAAGAGGTAGAAAGACGGAATTCTTTAAGAATCACATATGAATGGGTGATCTGCGTTAGGGAATTGTCAAGGTTTTTAAATCAGAATCCTACCTTGGATCGATGGGGAGGCTAAAAGATCATATCAAGAAGGTTAAGATCCTATGACTGAAAAAATGAGACAAAAAATATATGTAACAATACAGAATTCTCAAAAACAAGAATTAAACAAGCCTAGTCCATATGCAAATAGAAATTATAAAACTTTAAAGATATGAATAAAATTTGAGAAACTATAATATGACCATTGAAGAAAGTTAAAAACAAATGCGGGTAGTTAATCTTAAGGAAATTTGCGAAGAGAAATAAAAGAATTTGAAATATTTTTAACTTAATAATTATTTTAACTTTTCAATGAAATAAACGAATTAATGAATAGAGCTTTTTGTAACAAAAAAGAACTTTTTACAACTATTCTCATCCGGCGAATTCCCTAATAGACGTAAAGTTATACAAGACAATCACCTTTAAAAAAAATAAATGTCAATTTGACGTGCTCAATAACTAAATGTGCCTAACAAACAAATCCAACAACTTACATAGATAAAATCACAATTCAGATTGCGAGCCCATAAGATCCAAATCACAATCCATTAAGATATTATGAATTAGGGATTTACCAAGAAACCGGATCGAATATGCTGATAATCATGAGACTATATTTTGGAGTATTAATATTAGTATTTGACAACTGAAGTGTCCCATGTTTAGAAACAATCATACTAAAATGCAAGTTGCTAGGTTAGCGATTGTCAGTAACCCTGGACCTATACATCTTTGTCCTATCAACGCCACTGAGGTACACTTATCTTCCCAAGAAAGGAGGAAGGTTGTTTTACAAAGATCCTAAGAAACTCACATATCACCACCAGTGTCCATGTAATTTCAAAAACCACAAAGGTACCCCTTGAAGCTGTTAGAAACCATAGGAGTATCAATGAAATTTACCCAAAGTTAAAGGTCTGAAGAACATCAGTCAAATCAACTAAATATCTTCAATGTGAGAATATTAAGAGAACATGTAAGAGAAAAATATATGAATAATAAGAGAACAGCAGTGCAATAATGAAGGTAAAGAACACAACAGTGAATGAAAGCTCAGAACTTGAATTTTACAAAGGTAAAAGTATATTTGCAAGTAAAAATGGAAATATCTATAACGTAACATCAGAAGAGGCCGTAAGAATTCACATTGCATTAAGTACATATGAAACACAAAATTGATAGAACAAATCCAGTGAATACCTTCAATATTTTTAGACGGAAGCAATGATCTGAGATCTGAAGGGCATAAAGCCAGATCTGTACATATCTGGCGAAGTCGTAAAATTATGCTAAGTACAGTTGAATAATTGCACATTACACTGTCAGCAGAGATGTAGTTGCGGACAATATTCTTAGCTTCCGCTTCCATTTGGTCATACAGCTCGCGTTCTTCTGGAGAAAGTTCCACAAAACATGTCTCTATGGTTTTAGGTGGTAAACCAACTAAGCTCTTGTCTTTTGTTCTCCTCAACGATATGGTTGCCATTAGAACCTAAAAATATTGAATTACATGCAATGAGAATTAACAAGCATTATAATATCCCGGACTACTGCCTGACAAAAGAGAGAGCAAAAAAAAAAGAAACATAAATTAGGCTGCACACAATCAACATTTAATCTTGCAGCTCTGCACAACAGGATATACATCAAAGACCATCTAAATAAAAGAAAACAAGCCTTTTTATACCTTCTTCCAGTTTAAGTTAACAGGCATCTCTGTACTCCCCGACTCCCCACTTCAAAATATTAATCAGATGCTTTTCCAGTTGAGCTGAATAGCGGATACTACTTAAATAGTGAAACTAATTTGCTATCTCAATACCTATATCAACAACATTTGGCTCTAAAATGTAAGTTTGATAAGTATTTGTTATATAGATAAAGCCTCATGTGACAACTCTTTAATGCATTGACATCCAATTATCTGACATCCTGTAATCCATTGAGAAGGGATCAGCTTGGATGAACTCAAATACACCAAGAAAAGTAGCAAGCACAATGACAAATTCACCACTGCGGTGATCTGCATGGGAAATAATCTAAATTTTCCCACTGTTTTTCAAAATCATCAAAAATTATAGGAATTAGGAATCTGTTTATGCCTATCTTTTACATGTCTGCAAAAGATCTCACACAATATAACAAGATCCTGCCACCAGAAGATTTACAATAACAATGCAATAAGCCATCCATCTCAGCGGGACCTTTACAACTACTGGGCCACAGGACCATTAACCACCACTTAAAAAATTTCTCCCACCATACACAATCAAATTTCAAAAGACAAGAATCAAGAATCCTACAAAAAAAGAAATTACAGAAGTCCGTGGAGACATATAGGCGACGTCACAACATAATAATCCAAAAGATGACTCCATGAGTATGTACAGTCTCTTACGGGACATTAACAAAAGAAGTAATCAAAAGACCCATATTAGAGCACCTCTCCTGCTTAATGCAAGTACAAAACCACACAGCAAACATAGGAAAAAATACCATCACTGGCATTACATGAACAATTGTTTCCAAGTAAACCGGAACCAGATCTGCCTATCCTATCTCAACTATAAAGAAACGAAAATGGAACAATCCTTCAAACAACACTGTTTCTAATCCAATAGAGCAATGCAAGTCCAAACATGACTGCAGATATGAGGTTGTAAGTTCAAAGATCAAAAGAAATAAGTTCACCCTTTTCATTTTACTGTAGTTACAATCAAGCAACTGTTTAAAAATTGTGTATCTTCATACAATTAGATGTTAAAATGTGAGATTATTGGGCTGAAAATTGTGCATGACAAAAGTGAAGAATTTAGCAACACAGCAAACAGATGTATCCCAAGTACGTAAAGAATAAAGATACATACGAGATGAATTGCATAAATAGGAAGATCTATTACCAATACTACTGAAAGGATAAAGAGTACAATGTTCTTACTTGTAGCCGCAGGAGTCCTTTATCGTTCCTCTGAGCAAGTGGACGTTGTACTAAGCTGTTCCAATAGCTTTTAATTGAGAATGGCTCAAACCTCAAGAAAGCCATGAGAGAAAACAAATCGAAAGAGCCATTTTGTATGGGTGTTCCAGTGACAACCCACCTCCGCTTGGCATTTAATTTAGTAACTGCACGGCTTTGTTGAGCATTGACATTCTTAATCACATGTGCCTCATCCAAAATGACTCGCCACCACTCTATCTTCTTCATAGGAGACTCTTGCCATACTTCTTCAATACCTAGAGTACTATACGTTGTCAAAACTATATCATACTTCTGAAGCTCATCAGGATCATTCGTCCGTTCTCCATAATAAATGTATACCTTCAACCTTCCCGGCCTGGTGTGCTCCCTTAACTGTGTTACCCATGTCGAGAAAACAGAAGCTGGACACACAATTAAGGTCGTTTTTGAACCTAAAACATCAAAAGATCTATCTGAATCACCTACTGATTTTCCTTTCATCTTTTTGTGCAAATTGGTGTCCTCAGTTTTCCGTTTTTTCTGTGAATTACTGTCCCTTTTACTCACTCTCGCCCTCTTTGACTTTTTACCTCCGGAAACAACAGAATTCTCTTCTTTGCATATTTCATCACATTTTTCTAAATCTACAGCACCAGTATCACTTGAAGGAAGAACAGCACAACCATATTTATCAAAAGCAATCAAAGAAAGCAGTGTAAGAGTTTTACCCAAACCCATATCATCTGCGAAAATTCCACCATGTATTGACTCAGGCCGTTTATCCGTTTGGTAATTGGTCAACACATTGACAAAAGACCCATCTTTCTCCTCCCAAAAAGGTGGCAATTCACAAGAATTCTCCCTATGAACCAACCACCCCAAACCTTCCTTCTGGTGCAAAAAAAGTTCCGATGTGATCACATCCTTTGGCGGCTCCAACGGTTCCAACACTCCTTTTTTACTCACATTTTCATTCAACAACTTGAATATCTCATCCAAACTCTTCCCATCCTTGCTACCCTTTTTCTCCTTTGCTATCATTGCATCTGATAATGCAAATGAAGCATCATTATCAGAAATCAAATGCAGCCCACCTCGCGAAATCGCTGATTTCACCCCAGCAAATGCCTCAACCCTTGAGAAAATGTGAACTTGACAGGGAAGCTTATACTTAATCCCCTTTCCTGGCGTATTCGGTACAATTCCTGATACATACCAGTACAAAATCAATTCAATAAATTAGTACCAAATACATACGAAGACAATATACACTTAAAACTCACAACCTAGAGCATACCCAATATAGGAACATATGGTATAAAAAATTTGTAATAAAAATCAAAAATAGAAATAGCAACCCACAAATAATATTAAAAAATGCAATTAAATATGAAATTATAAGGGGATGGCTTAATTCAATTGGTTAAAATGGATGGCAGCCACGTGAAATTGTAACTTGTCTAACATAATGCATTAAATACATAAAAGCTAAGAAGCTTCAAACCAGAACTTTATTCTTGAATTGAGTGGCAAAAGTACATAAGAAATTGGAAAGTTTGAGGTGGAGCCCTTTAGCTAAAAGGATAACTTTTATCAGTGGCAAAACACAAGTAAAAAAAAAAAGCATACCTTGGTACCACAGTGACTAATCATAGCATTTCTTGGCATAGAAAAGAAGCTGAAATCCATGAAATAGGGAGAAACTTGAGATAAAGACTGTAAGTTCATTATGTTTCGCACCAGGGATGAAATATGATTTTCTGAATGGAACTTCTGTTCCGGAATTGTGGGAAAGAAGAAAATATATATTTGTGGAAATTACTCTCAAATAAATTGTTCTTGGAATACTATTATATTACTCGTGTGTGGAAGACGAAAAGAGTATTATGATCATCTCAACACACTTTTAACAAAATTATTGATGAACTTTTCCGTGAAGAGGTGAAAAATGAAGAGGAAGATAAGGTTATTATTCTCGTCTTCTATTTCATCTTCCTTTGATACACTTATGACTGCACTTCTGGTTGGAACACACTCTCGAAGTTGAGGAGGAGATAACTGCTCTCTTGAGATTGAAACATTCAGAAAACTAGGAAATGATTCCCAATGAGATGGCTAAAGGTGAATCAAAGGTGGTCGGGCTACAAGTGTTACTACTACCAAAAGCAAGAAAACTTAACGAAAGATTGCAATCAAGAAAGAGAGTTCTAACTAGGAAACACATATACGGATACAAAATACGCGTATAATATGATATAGATACAGCAATAAGACAAAACCTAAAAAATAGGATATGGGTACGACTAAAATACGTCCATAATAAAATATATTTTATATTTTACAATTATTTAAAGACTTAAAGATTATAATCTTTAGTAATTATTTAACAATAGTAAAAAAATTAGCAATTTTTATCTTGAAAAATGTGTAATATCGTCTCATTATAATATATTCATATAGTGAACATGACCAATTAAAGGAATTAGAACCAATATTTAACTAATTGATTGGTTTACAATAATTTTTTATAAGATTATAATGTAACTAACTCATTTTTTTTTATACTCTTTTGACATGTAACACTAGATAATACTTAAAAAATACTTATGTCTTCAAAATCAAATGAAATTTTATTAATGTATTGTATTGTTTGTGAACTCAAAAGGAGAGGATATAGATTAAAATTAAAAATTTTACATCTTGCTCCATGTATGGAAGTATCTGTAAGGTATCCATATATTTTATTAATTATCAAATACGTATGATTTATATTCAATACATATCCAACGAGTATCGTATTTGATATGAGTACATCGACCTTTACGTCATGTCTATACTTCATAAGTTCTACATGATGAAATAAATCTTCAAATTCAGATGAAACATGGAATGATATGACTCAAGTGGTAATGGTCATTTATTATCAATCAAATGTATGAATTACCTTGCTGATAAATAAACATTGAAATTGTCATATATGTCCTTAAAAATATTATTTGATACTTATAAATCCTTTAATATAGGACCAGTTCTAACAGACAACAGTACAGCTTGCAAGACCATCGAAATTCAGACCATTAAAATTCAAATTATTGATGGTATTAAAAAAAACTTATCTATGACATGTCCCTGGCATCAAGTTAATTTTTAATTTTCTTGGAACACTTAAGTTAAGGGGATTGACCATCACAACAAGGGAAATGGGTCAAAAGTTTGTCAAAGGGGTCATGGTTGTAGATAAACACGAAAAAGGCACGTGCTAGAAATGCTAATTCTAGCTCATGCCAACCTCAGTAGCTCAGATTAATTCTAGCTCGGCAGCTAAAGCAAGACGTGTAGGTGAATCGACTCATCAAATTCCCATTGAAATGGAAGAACACTTAACATTCATTGGTTATTAGAGGCATCCCAAAAACATCCGGGTTGAAATATGACTTTGAAATTAAATTCCAAATTAGTGGATGCAGTCAAAGGGAGTTATGATGTCATAGGCAAAAAGGAATACACTCATAGAATTACGAAAATTTTCGTGTTGGCTTTTCTATGTGTGGTTTTATTGCTCTTTATTTTGTTAAGTTAACTAATTTTCTGTGTACTGACCAAATTGCTTCAAGAATTCTCAATTGAACCCCAAACTTTAAAAAAAAAAAAAAAAAAAGATAAAATTGATTCTAAAAAACCATTCTTTAATTAGAACCCCCAAAAGATAATAGGACAAACCAAGATCAAAGATCAAGACCCCAGAAATTATTAGTATCACAAAGAAAATAAGAAACTCAATTCAGTCTCGTTCCTTGATTGCAAAACATGCCATAATTCATTTGCAACTGCATAGAAAATAATTTCAAATTAACTATATTCAACCTCTAGTAACAAGTAAAACTAACTGAAAAAAGGCCAAAAAAGAATTTACAAATAACATTATAGAAAAATAGCCACATATCTTCATAGAAGTACCTTCAACAAAGATCAAATGCTGATCAATCAAAGGTGCAAGAACCTTCGCCGCGGTCCGTTCGATGTGTCCCACTTGATCTGACCTTGTGTTGAGCACCTTTATAGCATTTGGGTCATAGGGGTTCAAGGGTTCACGAACCAGACCCACCATTTCTCGGCCATTGATGGTGCCCGAGTAGTACTGTATACCGACTATGTTGACGATGACAAAGCCAACCATGTAGGTATCCGAAGATTGAGAATGAGTGTCGGAGGGTGAGTCTTGGGAGTCATTTTGGTCCTCCACGTCGTCGCTTTGGAAGGGGGAGATAGGCCAACAGTCGAGACTCATGAAGCGTCTCACTGGGTCTTCATCTTCTATTTTCACCATTTTTACTGGGTTTTGGTGTGATGAGAGGGAAGAATTGAGGGATTGGGTGAGCCTATTGATTGTCCGCCTCTCTCTGTAGTCTACCGTTTTGTTTGAAAAGGGAAAGGCGGGTGGATAAAGGGAGAGAGAACGCAGCGTACAGAGTAAAACAGTGAGTCGGTTCCTATTGAGGTGGATACAGAAGGCCATTTGTGTGTGCGTTGCTAAAGAGAGTGCATTCTTGCGTCGGGATGATAACCATATTTAACCCACTCCCCAAACACCACCTTTGAGTTAGCGGGTGCGGGTGCGGGTGCGGGTGCGGTGTGACGGGTGTCGTGTGTAATGTATTTTTTTAAAAATAAATTATAGTTAATCAGCAGGTCGGAGGGTAATTACATTTTGTATGTGGTTGAATGGGAATAAATGAAATATTATCATTGTAATTAGATAAATAAAAATTTCTCTAAATAAAAACATGCCGAGAAGGATTTTTAAGCATCTTAGATCATCTCTAATGAAAATTTAAACTCTTATCTAAATTTTAATAAAAAACTTGATTTGATAGACCGTTCCAATAAAAAAAACTTAAATTTAAGATAATAGAAACTCAAATGTAAATGATGACAATTTCAAATTTAAATAAAAGTAAAATATAATCATTTGACCTTTAAATAATTATAAAATCTCATCATTAGAAATTTGGGTATAAATTTGTGTCTCTCTTGATTTAAGTAAAAAAAAAGTCTCGTGTCATTTAATATGAGTATGGATCTAATATTAAAAAAAGTTTTTTTTTTAAATTTATTATTTAAATTTAAATTTGAGTTTAAAAAAAATAAAAATCAAAGATGTTCTTAACCACTAGTTTAGTTTTTTTAATATACGGACTTTGTGGTGGGATGGTGTCATGTAGAAAATTTAAAAGCTCTTTTCACTATCATCTCTACCTCCACCCCAACCTTATTCATGCCATACAATGTTATATTAATTATTTTTTTTAATTATATCTTTTACCAAAGGCATTTATATATATAGATGAACAGTTGGAGATAAAATAAGAGTTTCATTTAAATTGAGAGTTTTTAGAAGTAGTTTGTTTAACATGGAATTTCAAGTTGGAAGTTATGCTACATCTGTCAATTGGACAAAAATGTGATTTTGCATTTCATATTTTAAGATTCTCTAATATATATCTAGATTTTGCATTATATTATCAATTGAAAAAAAAAATAATTTTTTAGTTTATCCCTAATTCATTTTGCAAAGTCTGGTATATCCCCAATATTCTTTTATCTTCTACCATTAATTATTCTATTAACTTCAATATTCTTTCAATATCATATCACTAGGGGCATGGGCGGAGCCACATGAGAATCAGGGTGGGCACTTTTGAATCACCTTATATAAGAACCCATAAAATTATTCTATACATTTATATTCCCCCCCCCCCTCCACTAAATTTTTAGAAATTTTAATAATGATTCTAGTTTTTTCTTTTTTTAATAAATTAGTGGACCACTAACTCTCTAAAATAAATATGTTAGTTTTGAATTAAATCAATGATCTATTTATATATTGATGAAAATGCAATATTTCTCCTTATCTAACACAATGTTCGTTACTTTTTAAGAATAATTTTTAGTTTTTATTTACCATTTTTTTAGTAATAGTAATCTATAACCTAATAAAATACGATTATATACAAAAGACAAAAGGTTGTAACACAAAAATATTTCAAACAATTTCGAATAGGAAATTACTCTATAAGATTTATAATGATATCAACTAAATTTTGTAACTAAATAAAGAATAATTTTACTATCGCCTTCTGATTGTGCGCATTGATAGAAAATTAGTGAAAAAATTCATATACAAAATTTTAGAGATTTTAAAAATTTTATATTTTATTGAAATATACTATTAGGTTAAAAAATACTAAAAAAATTATTTTGTGTCTTTTTGTTAGGATTTTGTTTCAGCTAAATAAAAATTGAATTTATTATTTCACAATAATTTTGTTTTGTCATTCTTAAATTGATTTTTTTTTGTATTAATTTTAACTAAATATTTTTTTATACCAGTTATATTTTATCTCTCTCATAGATATTTATGGCTTCGTCCTTAACAATATATATTTATTTTAATCATTATTGTACTTTTATAAATTAAAATTTTAACTTTTTTATTATAATATTAGATAAATTACATAAAAGCTTCTAATTATACCTTCACGTTAAAGGAAAGTTCATTCTAACTACAAAGATTGCACGCACAGAATTCTAATTTTTTAAATTATAGTTCAAAATGGTTTGCGCTTGTGCAACGGCAGGTAGTTTTAGAAAATTGAACGGATAAACTAGACCTGGATTCGACCCTAGACCACAAACTCGACTACTGGCCCAGACCTACACCAACCCGACTTGACCCCGAACCTGTAACTCCCAAAAATTCACAATTGAGACATTAACTATCTATGAATCATTCAAACTATGAGAACATACTAAAGCAACAATTAAATAATAAAACTGATTCATCAATTCAATAAATAACTAAATCAATCCCAGTAAAATATAAAAAACTTCTTAAAATTACATACCAAGAGCTTGAATAATATCTTGCAACTAAAAAAAAATATTCATGGACACTATCTAGTAACAAAACTCTAGAAATTTAAAGTAGAAGACACTCTCTCGGCCTCGACCTCCAGATCCACGTCTTGCTCTACGACCACATCAAAGTCAACCAGCTCATTTAAGATGATATCTTCTGTAAGTCCAAAATCTAAAAAATGTGTTACATTGTAGGATGAGCAAATATGTCCAACAGGGAAACCTTCTCAACCCCAAATAAGATTTCAAAAACATATAACAGGTAAGCCTTAGTTTATAAAATAAATATATAAAATTTGAAATAAAACAATGACATTGAATAACGATATCAAGTTTACGTTACAAAATAGTAAATCTCATAATATAATATAATCATTCGTAAATACCACATCTTAAAACATAATATCTCATATATGTAGGTAAACTAGTATGAATCTACACACTGAACATCTCTCGTCCACCCAACACAAACACAAACCATCTCAAATCAATCTTCGTAGGAAGGGCGTCTACTATTACATCAACATTGATGAATCATTCTCAGAAATAATATATTAGCCCTCAGCCTCGAATTTACATGAACAAATAGTGGTTGACTTTCGCAAAAAATCAAACCTCTTACGAGTGTTAGACAACCATTAAACCCCTCAAGCTAAAGAAATCTCTAACACTATACAATACAAATTTGAGTGTAATTTACGTTCATCACACCCACTCATTTAAGAGATAAGAATAACACTTTTCACAAAATTCACATGTACCATACTTCATAATTCTACAATTTTTAAGTAAAAAAATAATCGGAGCAAAATATGTAAGAGATCCCAAAAAGAAACCTTCACATTCACAATATCTAAGATCTAGGGTTCTAATCAAAAGTATATGACTTTTGGGTGTAAATCATGAATTTATTTGAGAATTTAAGTATATATTTAAATAGGAGTATACAATGTTGAAAGGTCTATCACATAGATAGAGCTATAGATCAAGAATTAGGGTTTTTCAGCAAGAACGAATAAATCTTTAATGCAAAACATGTATTTTGTTTTAAGAAATGAATCGTAAGTTCAAGCACACGAGAAAACATTATAGATCTATTATTTATATTGTAATAGAGATGCAAAACTTATAATTACATAGCTCTAATCTTAATGAATGAGTTTGAGATGAAACACAGAGATGAAACACGTTGATTGTTATTCTAATTGTATGTTGTATTTGTTAAGAGTTGTCTAGTTTTATATAGATTTATTTTAGTATTCTAGGATAAGAATATTTCTTCAATCAATATCTTTTTGAGTAATAGCTTTCATTAACACTGAATTAGAAATTAATTTGAAATCCAGAGGTGACTTATATAAATTTTAGCAAATGCTTGATGTCTGAGTAATACTAACAATTCAAATACATTAGATATATAACTTTTATTTTGACATGTTGCCTATTTTAACTCTTTCAAAGCCTCTTCTTTTTTTTCTTTTTTTATTTTAACCCTTTGTATGTATGATTATGATATGATTGTTTTCCATTCTTTTCGATTTTCGTTTGAAAGTACAATTATTTTGGATCTTTCAAATTAAGCTTTTAAATTATTGTGCCAATATAAATTTTTATATTACTCTGTATCTTCAAGTATCTACAATTACTAGTTCTACACAATAATATGTGACCCAAGCACAGAAGTTACATTCATGTATAGGTTCAATATCTACACACATCTCTATCAAATGTTAAACGCTCACAATTCATGAATGCAACGAAAGTTGGTATAAGATTTGTGTTGTCATGTCTTACAGTGTGTTAACCAGGGCTTTTGTTCACTCTAAATTCTGACTTGACGGATGGCTTGTGGCTTAAAGGCCAAAACAGAAAACTTGGGGAAGACCTGTGGACGAGCTCTGCATTGACTTCAGAATTTTGGCCATCAGATATCAGCGTCGGAGATGATACCCCAACAGAATGGTGGAGACAGCTTCAGTATAACACTACGATACCCAAAAAAACAATTAATTTGATACCATACCCCACCCTAAATATCTCTCGACCGTAGACATTTAGTGCACCATACCCCACCCTGAAAGGAGCTTCAGCAGAAATGAATCCAGTTTTCTTGGTGCAACTGTTCCATATTACCCAAAAATAAATGCTTGAGGTGCCATACAAATTATCAATATTGATTCAAGAACAGCATTATGATCATCTAAAATGTGCTCAAACAGTGCCTATCGGGGTGGTTGGGGCAGGGGAGAATCAGATTGATGATCTCCTCTACAGGTAAGTGAAAAATTTCGGCAGCTCCATTTCATTAGGACCATGGATCAGTCCAAATTCAGGAAGATTAGCCCTCCAATAATGAACATGAGTTGGAGAAGCAGAACACTTAACAAACACATTGTTTCCAGAGTCAGATGATAATTAGATGAGCCAAAAACATATCAGCCTCTCATGCACGCACCGACAGAGACACACAAACACAAACACACACGACTCCATTTTCAGATAAGCCAGATGCAGCCTGCTGTCGACAACATCAAGCAAACAGTTTTGACCCTGATTCTCATGCTTGTACTCTTCACAAACAGCACTGTGGTGAGAACGGAGAATTATCTATCTTATGAAAATAACACAGAACAACAGAGTTAACATCAAACAACTAAACTTTAGATTATAATTGCTGGCCATAATGCAATGGAAGGAACCAACTCTGTTGGAACTCTCAGAAGCAAACATATACAGACATACACCAACTATGATATGGCTCAGAATAAGCTTACAACAACACACCTTCATTGGAAGTTTCATATTCATTGCTGGATACCCACAGTTTCCTGGATAAAGTTGTCCCCATTATTGAAGCAGAGAAAAGTAAGATCATTTTGCTCGAATATAGTTTATCCCTTACGCTGAAAAATAACAAAATTGGAGACAGTACAAGTGCTAAGAGAATAAAAAACTGATCAAAGTAGCAAGAACTGAAATAATAAAAGAGAACATATAAATAAGTGAGAGAACGTTATGTCTGAAGCTGGTAATAGGCAAACAACTGCATGAACCTGCATGGACATAGCAATCACTTTGACAATCCAAACCACAAAAAACACAAACCTTTTTTCATCGTGGCCTAACAGAAAGAAATAGGAAATAAATTACACATATAAATAGTTGCAGAAACAATGGCATCTCCAAAGACATTTTCTTCTCCTCGTGTATGATTAGCAGCAGATAACATTAACCCATCTAAGGAACAGACGGAGTTGTTGGCATGGAGGAGGAAGATGACGGAGGAGTTTCTCTTTGAAGCTCCTTAACTACAGCAGCCAGTGACTCAGGGTTCAGACCCAGATCGCAGAGAGCAATAAGAACAGAGAGCGTGTGACGATCAAGCCCGGTCTCAAGAATGTTTGACATATGAAATAACAGGTCCAGAGATTCCCGGGCAGTTCGTGCAGCCTCTGGATCCATATCGAGACTATAAATGACCTTTATTTCAAAATGATTGTACTCAAATAGACTAAAATTGTAAGATGAAACCTGAAAATGGAAATAAGCACTATAATATATCGCTCACCAAATTTCCACAGATGGAAAAAATGACAATAAGCAAGCATATGTATGCATTAATGAATGGGATAGTTATTAGTTAACTCCCCCCCCCCTCCTCCTCCTCTCTCTCTCTCTCTCTCTCTCACACACACACACACACATACACATCTGCATATTAATTAGGGCAAACAACTTCACTTTACCTTCCTGTGATTTACCCTTTTTCCACATCACCTCCCTATCATTTAAAATAGCCACATAACCCCCACATGGTTAGTGGACTAAAGTGCACTCTTAATGCTGTAAACGATAAAAGAAAAATGGCATTAGTACCCTTCCCTCTATCTTCTTCTTTAGTAGACTCCCTACAACCTTCCTCCACCAAAGCACTCAGGCCATTGTTGCGGCATGACTGCAATGCTTTGAACCAAAAGTTAAAGGAGAAAATTCAAATCAAATTCTGAGGTAAAAATCTATTAGCAAAAACCAATGAAATCAAACTTAAAATTCAAAAATCAAAATTAGAAATCATCGTTGGCATCAAGGCCCTCTCTTCACAGTTATTGAATGGTATAACATCTTCCTTTGGTTAGTGAAATTGCCTCAATAGAAATAACTGAAACTCCTATGGGTGGGTTTGATGAAATTTAAGGGTTTTGTTGTTGGTGGATACTTTGATCTGGTTTGATTGAGGTGACTATAAGGCAACGGTTGGTTGAAGATTAAAAAGGAAGAAGAGAAAAGGAATAGGTGGCTGGAAAAGAAAAAAATAGGTGGCTGGAGGCAGTGGACTGGACGGTGAAGAGGAAAAGGGAAGAAGAAATGTGGTTGGTGGGTGGCTGAAAGCCACGAACTTGCAGGCTTGAGAGAGATGGTGACATTGTTCTACTTGTAGACTAGAAAATCTGAATGCAGCGGTCCTTGTATTGCTCATCCTCATCGACGGAATCTAGTGAACCAGACCCATGGAGACCCATTAAGCAGAAACATATTTTTCAGGGAAAAAAAAAATGGTTTAGCTTGAGGCAGACCTGGTTTCTTCTTCCTTTCTTCCTCCGCTGTGGACTCCTTTATAGCAGGCAAGATCTGCTTCTCATAAATATGGAATAGTTTGGGCAACTTAGTCATTTGCTGTTAAGATTTTTTGAGGGAAATAGCATTTGAGCATACCCAGTTTCATCACAGCCGCATGAGAGGCACCTTTTGTTAACTTGGATGGAATTCCTAACTTTGCACTTTAATCCAATAAGCACGTGAGTGTTTTGTAAATGACAGGGAGAAAAAGTGCATTTGAGACATAGCACAGGGAATAAAGTGAAGTTTGACCTATTAATTAACCCAATGGCCTGAATCTCCAATACACAACCACCACCACCATCCACCTCTTCCACCAGCGTCAAAACCTCCAGCTCAACCATTGTGACCATCTTTGACTCAAAATTGACATCATTATCACACACAAAACTCATCACCTAAATATCTTCCATTTTCCAACCAAAAGTTCATTGATCTAAGATGTAAAGCAAACTATTAGCATACCCAGGTGAAAATTGAGAGAAACTAACATTTTTAAGAGAAAATTCATATAGATCGAGACATATCAATTGGATTAGGATATTCACAACTTTAACATTCTCATTACGAGGTGTTTTACAAAGGGAGTTCACTCCAGAATGTCAATCAATACAATTTAGTTTCTTTACATTCTCGAATTGTTGCTCCTATATTTAGTTTCTTCCGTTTCAAATCCTCAATTTTGAGATTAGCGTCACTTTAAACTATAATAAATAATAATAATAGAACTACTATTTTATTGCAATAATATGGGACTGTAGAGAAAATTGAGCCTTTCCACACCCAGCTCGAAATTTCCCTTCTAATTTTACTATATCATATATTTAATACGAAAACAAATACATACTTACATTTATACACACACATATATTGCATATACATATACATATACATAATCATTTCGTCGAACATCTTCTGGGCATTTCATACAGGTTCAAGTTTATTCAGACAGACATTCCAATCCAGGAAAGAAAGCAAAACCTCTACGACGATTCTTAACTCCAAATTTATCATATTTCTAATCTTAAACTAACCAAAAAAAAAAAGGTGAAGTTATCTATTTAGAGTCAGAAACAAGTCATGCCTTCAAGTCGGAGCAGTGAGCTATGGGGTTTCTATAAACAATTTTCTGTAGAAAAAGAGATAGAGCGAGGAGACAGAGGCATAGCTAAATTTGAGAGAGAGAGAGAGAGAGAGAGAAGGCAGACACTGGATTTACCTGGTGGGATCGAGAGATCGATCTCTGTATCCGATTTCTTTTGTACTTGCTATTCGTTTTTGCGTGTTTTCCGTTGGCCTTAATCAAAGGGTGGGCTATTCCCAACCCTTAAACCTTCGTTCCATCCCATTTAATCTTCCTACATCCACCATCTATACTCGTTATTAAAATCACCATTTATATATTTATTAATTAAAAATTAAATTCATCTAATATTATTTTTACCTACTATATAAATAATGATCAAAATTTTATTTTAATTTACTATTTCAATACAAAAAAATATTTTTGAAGTAGAATAAAAATTAATAATTATTTTTAAAATATTAATTAAAATATAAAAAAATATCTTAAAATACCTCAAATTATTATAAAGACATTAGTAAAAACATGTTAAAATATCTCAAAACACCTCGAATTATTATTGATCACTTCAAAATATTAAAATTTCACTTCAATTATTATTTTTATTAAAATTTCACTTCAATTACTATTTTTGTTTCATTTTTATAACATATATATTTAATAGTTTAATTGAATGTGTATAAATAAGGATAGACTTAGTAGTTTGAAATAAAATGATTAAATGGTGTGAGAAAGAAAACATAAGAGGATGAGAATAGTCTCACCCTAATAAGTGATTAATTACACTTTTTACCTCAAAGTTTCTTTTGATTCCCACTTTGATCTTGAAAGTATTTTTTTTTTTGGCTAATTTCATCTTTTAACTTTCCACAAATTTTAATTGAGTTCAATTAAAGATTTTCGTCAAAAAATTTATTGAAACATACCACATGTTATTAGAAGAAAATGACATGCATCAAGTGATACACATGTGTCTTATCAAAAAAAAAAAAAGTGATACACAGGTGCCTTTTCTCCTTTTTTGGGTCAACAATTTGCACCCTAGAAGATATTAAATTTTCCTATTTGCACCCTGACAGTTAAACTTTCCCGCATTATACCCTCAATCGTGTGAAATTGTTTCAATGTGATGCACATCCAAACGTCCATTCATATCTCTGTCTATTTTAAGCTCACGTGACAAGCTCATGCAATCTTAAAGGGTTAATATGTAAAATGAAAACTTTTGGAGAGAAGGGGATGGGACAGAGATAGAAAAATCCAATTGAGTTAGGGCTAAATTGAACTCCTAAGAAATTCACCAAAAGTCAGTTGCGCATCTTGTTTAACGGTGGGTTAAAGAATGTCTCGGGTATGGAGGAAAGAGATTGATGATTTACGACCATGATCGGTTGACCCATGTTATAATAATGTTTCTTTATGTTTTTTTCCAGTCTTTTTCAAGTTGATGATAAATTATCAAAGGGTGGGTTTAGTAACCTTTTTGTTTTTTTGCTAAAAATTAAAAAAATATAAAACATGTTTGATAATTATTTATATTTAAAAAATTATGAAAACAAAAATAAAAAATATATTTGGTATTTTATCCAAAATTTACCACCCAACACCACCTAAACCCACCACCAGTAACCCCTGCAATCCACCACCCTCCACCTCGAAAACCCACTCTCATCAATAACCACCCAACACCACCGAAAACCAAACCCCCAAACTCCCTACAATCCACCACCCACCAGCCTGAAAATCCACCCCCACCAGCAACCATCCAAACCCCACCAAATCCCCTACAATCCACCACCCACCAATAACACACACACACACACACAAACACACATACACACACAGATCTATATATACAACACATATATACACACACACAAACACAAATAAACATACACACATATAAACCTATGTATATATAACATCATATATGTAGATCTATATCTATATATGTATATATATGGTATAAAGTTATGGAATATGGGGAAACGAGCTAGAGAGATGATGTATGTTTCCTCTTCGTCTTTGTCTTCAATTTTATATTCGTGTTTGATTTCATCGTCAGCCTCTTCATCTTCGTCTTCGCCACTGGTTTCAGGAGAGAGAGAGAGAGAGAGAGATGAGGGAAAAAGACGAAGACACCAAAAAAAGAAAGAAAGAAATAAGAGATTTTTATAGTTGGCCCAAGAAAAAATCTCATTTTATTGCTAATGAGATTCGAAGGTTGGATCTCATTAATTGTTAATAGAAAATCGCGCGTGTTTTTAGTTTTTGATGTTTTTAAAAACATCATTTTTAGTGTTTATAGAATTTGACTTTGTTTTCAAAACAATGGGGCTTAAAAAAAACATAAACATTTCAAACATGTTATTGTTTTTTTTTTTTTTTTGCAATAAGTGAAAAAAAAACAAAAAAAAAGAAGTAAACAAATGGTTATCAAACGACACCTAAGATAGTGGCGTTTACTGTGACATTGGTGTGTGGGATCAATTGTCAAGGCATAATGGGTGGGTCATTTTTATATTCAAAGTGTGGGCCATTGTGTTGTGTCCAATTAGGTATGGGGGTTTGTGTGAGTGTCAATTTTTTAATTATTTTATATATGTGATTTGTTTAGTTTTGTCAAAGTCTTGATTTTGTTTGATTGTTTATTTATTTGATTTGTTAAACAAAAATTTCATATGCAAATGATGGTTCTGAATACTTCATTATTCAATTACACCATGGTGGTAAAAATGTTAATGGAGTGTATGTCGGTGGC